GCACCTCGCGCCGCAGCCCGCTCCGCCGCCCCCTCCCCCATTACCTGGAGGTGCCCGCGACTCGCCGCTAGTTGCGCTCAGGCGGGAAACGCGCTCACCGACACCATCAGCGAAGCGCCCAAAATGGCGGACGTATCAAGCAGGCCTTGAGTTCCCCCCGCCCTCCCTCCGGCCGCCTCGTAGCCAATCACGGCCCTGCCCCCGCCCCTAGGTCCGCGCTCATTGGCCTTCCTCTCCCGCCCCCTGCAACCTATTGGCTCACCCTGCGGCCCCCATTGCACCCACTGTGATTGGCTCAGAGACCCCGTCAGTCAAGTGCATTCTTTTCCCATGGACTTGACGGATCCGGAACCTCTAGGACCCCGGAGTCTGGAGAAACAAATCAGAAACCGAGAGAAACCTGGTCGAGTCCCCCTACGCCGTAGCAACAGCCGGGCCTCCGCTTGACGGACGCTTCGGACGACCAATCCAATAGCCAGTGCTTTTCAAAACTAAATTGAGCCAAACTAGTCATGGCCTTAGAGCTGGGAGCTGCAAGGGAACCAATGGGGAAGCGAGAGCGGCGGGCAGGCTCGTCAGAGGGCCTGGAGGAAACCGGTGATGACGTGTGCCACAATGTGTTCCGGCGGCGGAAGTTGCCCGGAGCTGGGGAATTAGCTCAAATGGTAGAGCGCTCGCTTAGCATGTGAGAGGTAGCGGGATCGATGCCCGCATTCTCCACAGCCGAATTTTAGAACGTGCGGCGAAGGGGATTACCCGTCATGATCACTTATCCCTGAGAGAGTGACTGTGCCAGGAGATACAGTCAAGGTGAGGACTCGGCACCGCTAACTGTGCACCTGCCACTGCTAGGGAGGAGAGATGCGGGGGCAGGGGTTCTCCTTTTGCCTTGCAGAAGGATTTACACTCGAGCTTCTATCAAAATTCTCCTCCGGTACCCCTGCCACCTCCCCGCCTCCCCTGGAGGGGCGAGGGGGCCGGGCTGGGACACCTAGGAGGTGCTGCCTCCTTCCTAAATGCACGCGAAGCGCCCTCCAGAGTTACGTGTAAATCAACAAGAGGGCAAAAGTTGGCGGCAGGGGCTGAAAAGGGCAGACAGGACTGGGGGCCCGTGAAACCCAGCCGGAGTTCAACGAACGCAAAATCGCACACCCACGAGAGTGCGTGCGGTGCAGGGAGGCTTAGGCTGCCGGCTGCTGAGGAGGGAGTGCTCATCTTTCGCGGACAGGCAGACCTCGAGTGAGCAACCTGCGGGGGTCCCGCCTCTCACGTCTGTGGAGCACGTCAGACACTACCTGGGCAACATTAGAGAGTGGTTACGTGAAACAGACTGCAAAGTGGTGGGGGTCTTCCTGAGCAGGTGGCATTTCAACCCACAGGACACGGAGAACAGACGTGGACCTTTGTCCAGGTGGCAGGGAGAAAGACCTCAGACCCCACGGTGAGGCTTTGGAGCAGGCTGGGTTGTGGTGAGAGAGGGACACACACGGCAGAGAGAGGAAATGTCACAGATGACCAGGTCCTTGAGGCCAGTGCCACCATGCCCCGTGGGAAACTAACAACCCTGATGCTTACATGGGTGATGGGCCTGGAGCATAATGAGGGCTCTGTGTCTGGAGGTTAGCAGACCTCTGGTGGCCCTGACTTGGTTGGAAATGACCACCCCAGCTCAAGGAGGGGAGGCGGGCTTACTGTGGGGCTTCCCCAGGCTGACTTCCAGAGTCTAGGCTGGGAGTGGGGGAGGCAAAACCACAGAGTTAGCCACAGGGCTGCCTTCCCAATGCTCAGCACCTCTCTGCACCGCCTTTGCACCGGCCCCAGCTGGCCTGAGACTCCCTCCACCGAATTGGCTCAGATTTCAGAGCTCTCCCACCAAATGGCAGGAAGTATGGAGCCCAGCTTGAACGGAGTCAACCCCAGCGCCTGGGAAGCTGGGTCTCTGGTGCAAAGATGCCCTCCCCCAGCTCGTCCCTTCAGCGGATCCTGTAGCTAGAGGCAGGCTCCCTAGGAGCTTATTTCTAGTAGCTCCGTTATCATCAGTATTATCATCCCCATTTTACATGTTAGTTAACTGAGGCCCAGAAAGACTTTTTTATTTTTTTGGTTTGATGACTCTTGGCCTTGAGACCCTAATTTTTCTTTTTTTTAATTGAAGTATAATCAGTTACAGTGTGTCCATTTCTGGTGTACAGCATAATGTCCCAGTCTTGCATATATATGTATATTCATTTTCATATTCTTCCAGAAAGCCTTTAGACACTGGGTGTGGTCCATGTGGGCTGAGTGACCTTGGCTGGGTGATCTAATCCCTCTGACTCTCCAGGTCTTATCTGTAGAGTACTGGTAATAACACCTACCAACCTGGGTCCGTGCCTCTGAAGGTACTGGGCCTCTAGGGAGGCTGTAACCGGG